ATCAGCCCAAACCATTGTCATATTCGGAATCAGCATAGCCGATAACCTATTTTCCACTTAGTTTTAGGCCAAAAGCGATTTGCCAGTTGGTGTCCTTTCCTCGTTAGTCAAAATTAGATGTGCTACTATTCTATGATCATCTAACTTTAATTGTATCTTCGCTAATACCTGTTCTGAAACAAATATTTTATAATCTAATTCTTGACGTTGTAATATTGGATGTAAATAATACAATAGGACTGTTAAATGTTCAAGACGATCACGATACGGAATGATTATAGCCACCTTTAAAAAAATCAATGATTATTCTTTGATATATATCAAAAGAGAAAAAAAATGACATACTCTATGTCTGGCTAAACAATTTGCTGGTGACCAACTACCACCTGATCTGACATCGGAATAATTCATTTCAACTTCATATAAAGTTAAATTTGGAAATGTTGAATTTTCATCTAATATACGACCTCCTATATTAAATAAAATATAAAATAATTTTATATTTAATTTTTCACATTTTTAATTTGAATTATTTAAAAAATTTTCTTACTTAAATCAAATGGTTCCTCATTACAATATAATCGTCGTTTATGTTTAGTTCGTCTCTTCTTCCATGAATTCCAACTTTTATTTGTATCATTTTTTCGTTTTTTATTATCATTGTTCTTTTTATTATCAAAAGAAGTGACATGTTCTTTTAATTGTTCATAGATCTGTTTAACATCTCCAAGAATTTTTCTATTTGTACCAACTGAATTTAATAAATAATTCATACTTTTATTTTTTTGTCGTACTTGTTTAATTAATTCATTTGAAGAATAAACAACCGGTTTTAACCACCAATTTGAAATATCTGAATAACTACTTTCACTAGTTTGAATTGAATTATCTATATATGTTTCATTTAAAAATCCATGATCATAATATTCATTGTCTATAGTAAAATTTGTTGTAGAATTATCATTTTCAATCATTTTATAATAGGATTGAAATAATAAACGAAAACGATGAATATAAGCTTGAATATTAAATAGTAGACGCCATTTATCTAATAAATAAATAAAGAGATAATTAGAATTCAAATTTTTTGTAATCTAATACTATTAATTTATATCGTCGGTTATGTATTTTTTATTCAACCTTTTTATACCTATCAATTCCAAAATATGATTTTGTAGAGATACTCTATTTTTGAATTATTACTGTACTTAAAGATTAAAATTAATAAAAAAATTTGTGAATATTTTTCAATGTGAAATAATTGTAAAAGATTTTTCTCATTTATACAAAAAATTATCTTTAATCAATTAAACTTACCTATGGGTAATACATTATCTTTTAATAACATTTCCATACTTTCATCCATTTGTTTTAATTCTTCTTGAATTTTTTGCATTGTATAAAAATTTGTACCATATCGACTTGTATGTACAACAAGAATTTGTGATAATGTAATTATAATTAAAAATAAGAAAAATAATAAAATTAAAATTGGTGGAATATCTCGTCTTAATGAATTTGTACTCAATGGTTCATGAGAATAACGATAAAGTCGTGTAGATGATGATGATGATGATGATGATATAAGAGGTTGTAATTGTTGTTCATATTGTTCATCTTGAAATGTGACTGTGTTAGATGATGTTCGTAACAATAACGACGAAGAATAATATGATTGCATTTTATTAACAACAGCGTATTATTGTCATCTTTGTCTCTGTCATTTATTCATCTACTAGGACATATTTTTTACTTATGGTAGAAAAAAGAAGAACAAGAAGAAGAAAAGAAAAATAAAGAATTTTCTTGTTTTCGGCTTTTAGTTCTTCCGGTTATTGTCTGATGTGCTGATCATCGTTGGATTATATTAGAAGTATTGAATAAACAATAAAAAAAGATTAATGAATAAATAGATGGATACAAAATCAAACAAAAAAAAAAAAAAAAAAAAAAAAAAAAAAAACTAAAATAAGAAAAATAGACTAATAAAAGAGTGAACAGACAGTCACATAAAGGTGATTTTTATGTCATCCAATGCTGTTTTTTTCGTCTTCTTTTTCTTTCTCTTTTAAATGAAACGAATGCTATATTCATCATCATAATATCTAAAAACAAAAGAAAGAAAAGAAAAAAAAATGTGTTGATAAGATATAATTATTATGTTCCCATATATATATTAAAATATTAGCAACAACAAAAAAAAAACAGAAAAAAAAAACGATGTAGAACAGATTAATTACCGAAATAATAAAATACTGGAACGGAAAAATGAAACATTGATATGCTTTTAAATGAAAAGTAGTTACAGTGAATTATACAATCAATAATTGATTTTACTAATATATCAATTTTTGTATATCAACAAGAATCGAAAACGCGATTATATTGTTTTTTCTTTTTTGTTGTATCTACTATAATTATCATTCTAACACTATATAAAAGGCGACTGTCAAAAATGATTAATGAATTATTTTAAGAAAAAATTTATTCTTTTTTAAAATAAGTAATAGGGGTAACATCTTTTTTTTAATGTTATGGTTGAATAAATAGCATAAGAGACAATGAATATCTTGGTAATTATAAGAGTTTTGAAAAAGAAACACAATCTGTTCTTTTTGTATAACAAAAAAAAAAAAGAAGAAGAAAGAACAGAGAGCTACGCTCGAATATTTCCAACAGCTGTTCATTGTGTATATATTTCTATATTATGTTGAAAATATATCATTTTTTTTTTCTTTTGATTTCTTTCTCAAAATATTGTATATCTTTACACATGTTATCAGTTTGTCGTTAAAGAATAATATTGACTTCATGATAAATAACAATAATAAGACTTTATATTGTACATTATATAAATTTAGATAAAAGGTCGTATATCAATGTTATCAGATTTATTTTTATTACTTTATGTAAAGATATTTCAATTTTTCTACTACTATTACGTGTGAGTATTTTTCTAAAGTATAATAAAAAGTTCTTTTGATTTTAAAGGTTATACACATCTATATATATATATAGGGAGAGAGAGAGAGAGATATTACCACTTACCATTTTCTTTTTATTGTTATTATATCTATTTTCTTTTGCCACAATAAAAATTTTTAAACATCACGTATACACCCTTTAATTTTAATCTTTAAATGTAAAATAGTGTCTTTCTTTTTTTGTTTCTTCTCTGAAAATGAACTGATGAAACTGCCTCAAGTTATCCAGTATGACTACTAAGAGAGGAAAAAAGTGATAAAAAACGAAGTACATAACCTGAAAGAGCATAGAACATTGTATATTTTTCACTAAACTTAGGCTTTTATAGTCTAGCATTTCAAACACATAATTTTAATGAGAATATCTTATCTACTTTAAACAAAAAAAAAAAAAGAAGCTCACTTTTATAAAACGTGTAATTAACTTATAGTCTAACTACATACAACTGTATTTATTATAAAATGAAAAGCGGCGCCATCAAAGCAAGATCAAACTATTTTTGTTTTCTTTCTTCATAATAGGCTGACTCTACAAAGGTTTCGATTTTTTTTAAGTGCTACCTTCTTCTTGCAAAGTACAACTCAAATTTTTGAAAATATTTTTATTTTAGATAATATTCGACTAGTATTATACTATCCACTCGATTTTTGTGTCATTTAAATAATTTTTCTTGTCATAATTTATCAGACACTCCAGTAGAGATTCAGTCTTGCTCTTCTTATAGCACTAGACATAAACTAAGCTTGAACTGGTATTCAACATGAAAAGTTAACTATTTACCATATTAGAGAGTATTCATTTCTAAAGCAGAAAACCGCAACAGAATAGATCATTCGGACAAAACTAAAACCGAAGGACTTTTATCTTCATATTCTGCCTATTTCCGTGTTCTGAAAAGATGTAGAAAAATTTGTTAGCTAATCTCTTCACTTTACTAGTGTTTGCATAAGTATCTGTTGAAAAAACAATAATAGCAATTGAAAAATTCAAAACGTTATTGACTATATTACTTTATTTGTTTTGCGGTGAGTGTCAGAAAACATGCCGATGTATAATCGTTTCTCTCATTTGACTTCATTATAGTTTCCGATTTCTGAACACCTTTTGTCAAAAAATTAATTAATCAATGATTTTACATCAAGTACTATTTAGAGACACTTTCCTAGTATCTAAGCTGTTTATTATATTATTAGTACTAGAACGAAGGAATTAGACATCTAATACTTTTTATTCTTTTTTCTTTGTTTATACTAAGGAATCCACGTGTTATACAGAAATGGGTCATGACACTAGAATGCATACTGAAAATATGCACAAAGATACATTTTAAAGGCAACTAATCAACTTTTAAACATCTATTAAGGCATTGTAGACGGATTCTGTAATGTAAAATGTGTGTCTAAGTGTACAAAAAGATACTCGAATGTCTTTCAAAAATATCGATTACTATTGTTTTTTTATTGAAGATTTTTTCAAGAGAGATGTAGCGACAATATAATATATTAAAAAGAATATTTTTATAAGTTGTGGATATTCAATGAAAAAAATTTTCATAAAATACTCTTTATAAATTAATGCAGAAAAACAATTTGTTTAACAATGACATTGAATGTAATTCTCTGATTTAAGTCAGTAATACTGGAGATTCTTGTCAAAAACTGTCAGAACTCATCCTATACTCTTTTTCTCTTTAGCAATTTAATAGAATAATATTAAGAGAAATTTCTCTTAAAAAAAGTAATTCGAAACAAATAATACATAGACATTGTATAGTAGAATACTTGCTGAAGTTATAGAAAATCATCAGAGAAATAGTTAAAAGTATACAAGGATTATAGAATGTTACTGAAGTTTTGTTAATCTCTTACCAGACACAAATTCAAACATTTTGCACAAAATCACATTTCTTTTAAGCAAATCTGATATCCCTTATCATACAATTAATTGATTATTTACAAAATATTCACAGATAACAAACATGTGTTTTATTATAAACAATAATGATAATATGTTAGAATATGCGGCTTGTCATTTTAACGTGCATTTTTTTTCTCTTCTGTAGATGGATAGACAGGATAGATATTACCATTTCTGGTGTAGGATAAAGATCAAATAATATCGTACTAATAAATGGGAAGGTTCATTCATTCATTCTGTGGACATTCTGAAGTGTAATTTGATTGTGTATCGTATCTAGCAGATGCCATTTCTTGTACAAAGAGGCAGTCACATAATACATATAGTAGTATAAAAATGAAATTTAATCTCAATTAACATGCTGAAGTGAAAATATTATTATACACTTCAAAGAAGATAAATTAATAATATTGTTCAACTCATGCGTCTTATTTTCTTTATTGTGGAAATGTCTCCTACATTCAAAACTTTTGTAAATTAAAAAACACACTAGTTGAATAAAACCTTCAGTATTAGAGAAACACTTTCAATTACTATATAAACAAATGACTGTTTTCTTTTATTAAGTTGTCATCCATGCATAGTGTGCACTGAGGTGGGTATTTGATCAAAAATCGAAAGTGCCTTTACTAGATTGAAATAGGAAAAAATATACTTTGAGACATGGATTAACTATTGCTGTGAGAAGTTTTCTTTCAGCTGTTATAGATCATGAGAAAATACATAAGAGGGAACGTCCCGAGGTGATACCCTCTATCTCTAATGAGTTATACTTCAATCGATAGAGTATATCGAGCTAGTAAAAATACTAAAAGGATCTTACCCCATGGTTCTTGAAGTCCCGGTTTTCTAAAAAAAACAGTTTTTCAGAAACTCTAAAAAGTTACCTCAAACCTTTCTTAATGAGACTTGATTGTAGCCCGAAAATTTCTGATTAAAATGAGACATCTCCCAGCTCTACACAACCTTTCTCTGCAAAGTTATAGAATTTACAAGTAACGTCATGAATGTTCACTGTTAGCTCAAAGCTACAGAAATAATGAAATTAATTTAGAGCTTTTCTTGTAAATTCTATAGCTTTGCAAAGAAAGGACATGTAGAGCTGGGAGAGGCGTCATTTTAATCAGAAATGTGCGGACTACAATCATATCTCATCAAGAACGATTTTGATTACTTTTTAGTTTCTGAAAAACTGGTTTTACAGAAAACCGGATCTTCAGAAGCTATGGGGGGGAGGAATCCTTTTAGAGTGTTTACTAGCTCGATATACTCTATCGATTGAAGTATAACTCATTAGAAACGGAGAATATCACCTCGGGACGTTCGCTCGTTAGGTAAAAATTAGCGTATAAACACAATGCTATATACAGTAAAAGAATTTTTTTATTCTGCTTAACGAAGTCATAAGTGAAAATGTTTAGATTATAAATCCAGACCCTTGTCTATGCATGTCAGTGAAAAAAGTTCTCCCTTTAGGCTTAAAAGTCCTAAAGAAAAAAAACATTTTAGTTTCTGAATTTTCCTAAACTTCAATCTGATCTTAAAGTTTACCAAAATGTTCGTTTACATTCGCTGGATTTATGGTGAATACGCAGGGCTGTGTTACTGCGTGGGGGGGGGGGGGGGTGCGCCAGCCGCCCAAAAGTAAAAATAAATCGCTTTTTCCCAGCAGTAATTTTTTTTTTGCGTTCTTTGAAAAACATAGAGCACCCCGCCCCTTCCCCCAAAGTCTGAGTAGTCGCGCGACAGCCCTGTGAATACGATAAAATATGGTTTCCATAACCCCTGAGGGAACCTCATGCAATTTTGATCATAAACCAAAAGTTTTCAGAATACGATATTCAGATACAGAGCGTCATAGCAAGTCAAACACAATCGTTTCCGATGATAAGACACTTGATATCCGTCTGCCTAGTGCAAAGAAAAATGCTCATTGTGCCATGCTCTGGAAGAGAATATCGCATAGAAGAAGATAATGGCAAACATAGTACATCTGCAACTATGTTTCAAAATAAAGAATCGGGTATTTCTACACTAAAAGCAAACATATGTTTTCGTACTATGCTGAAATTATATCCAGACATCATTAGAATAATAGATCATCACTGAATTTTAAACATTTTGCTATTACATCACCGTTTCTGAATTTTTATAATGTTTAATAACTACGTCAGTAGCCAATCTTGTTTAGAATAAATAATCGAAATTTTTCAATCGTTATTAAATTAAACATAATCATCTTTTCCATTATTCTCAAGTGTTTATCATGGTTCAATGTGATAAATGTACCATTTAATATCGTAATATCATTCTTTCTACTATTTGATTGTAAACATATTGTTTTAAGGTATCTTCTATTCTACAACAATATCATACGTGAGATAATTTGTTTCAAATTGTTTTATTATTTAAACTCTGATGTTCGACACCGATCGTTCATAATTCCAGTATACGATGATAACGTTCAAACATCAGATGTAATTGTAGATTGATTGCTCTCGTTATTTCAGTTATGTAATCATTTAATAGACATAATTAGTATTTGCATATTTAGCTATATTAAAACTGACATTTCTTTTTTGTCGCGTGTATAATATTGTTGTATCAATTTTGAATAATTTTCATTCTTCTTAATTAAAAATTTTTTTATCACTCTTAGTTGTAAACTTTTCTATTCTAAAATAAAAAATATACACACACACTTATGAAATATATATTAAAATAGCTAAATCAAAGGGTTAAACATTTTTCTAACCTTCAAAATCGTTCTTAATTTAATTTACAGTTCAAATTTTATCTTATATTGAGATTTTTTTTTATTACTCTCTCATAGTTGTAGACTTTTCTTACATAAGATTCTCTAAACAGTTTTAAATCCACAAAAAAAGATAATATCGAAATACAAATGAAAAGTTAACCCTTTAGTTATGGCACCCGTATACATACATTTTGAGCTTTTGCTCAGATGACAGCTCCTTCTTGGTCAAGCCATAAAAGTGTTTTCTATCTTTCTCTCATGTTGTTAGTATCACACCATCATCCTGTAGCACCACCATGTATGTATACATCCTCCGTCTCTTACGTTCTGGCTTTTTTTTGTTGAAAAAATCAAATTTTTTGACATTTTTCAAAAAAAATATCTCGTAACGACAGGATTAAGCAAAGTCTATAAAATGTAAACGTTTATTTCTTTAAATTTATTCAATTGTAATAGTTAACAGAAAAAACAGAGAAAACAAAAAAAAAATAGAATATATAATCAACCATTAAAAATAAACAAAAAAAAGTTCATTCGACCAAATCAATTCTAAGTAGATTAAATTTTTAAAACAATGTTTTGCATACTTAATATATAAAAACAAAAAAAATAAGATGAAAATAATAACAATTCACGTTTTATCCCAACGAAAGTAACTTAATTTGTTACAATCTCAAACGTAGAAGAAAAAAAAACTTAGTTGACCTATTTCCTTCATAAGATACGTTTGTTTTATTTTCGTTTCTTTGATGCACTAGCAGACGACGAAGTACTTATTGTTGATCCACCATAAATATTTTGTGAAATTTTATTGATATAATACAATGCAATCAATGAAAATATCAAACTAAAATAAAGAAAAATAAATGAAAAATATTATTGAAAAATTGACTAATAAAGATTTTCTTCTTACCACGTGGTTACACATACACGATGAACAAACGCACAACTCATCATTGATATGAATAAACAAGCGATAACTAGAGAAAATAAAAACAAATAGTATCATCAAGAACATAAACTATCTGAATCTCATCGTAACGTATAGATAAAACTAGAATTTCAGAGATATTCGAGTTCTGACTCGATTATTACCTTCAGGAAATATTTTTGCTTGAAATGTTGGTCCAAATACTTGCATTTCAAAATTACTAACTGCCTATAAATAAAAGAAACAAAAGTTATCTATTTTAAAAAACAACGGAAAATAAAAACGTGTAAGAAAATTGACATACTGTTAAAAGAGAAATAAATATTGTTGAGCCAAGAAATCCACCAAGAATTGTTAACTGTTGATTTGCTGCTAATTGATTTCGGAACAATTGCATGGAAGCAAACAATAAAATCGTTGCAGTAATTGAAAACAAACATGAGGCACCAGTTGAAGTAGTAGCAGCTAAAAAATATAGAAAAAAAAAAGCGAGAATTGAATCTTTCACACATTGTACAGTTATCAATCCTTACCCATAGCTTATAATGAAATGAAAAAAATAAAGATAAAATATATTCTAATTTGTCAATAAATAGTTTATCTAAAAATATCGAAAACAAGCTGTCTAAAATACTTTTAATTGTCTCCTCCATATTGATCTGATGTAATGGGATGGTTGATTTCGTCGCTGAAACAAACTAAACTATTCAGAGTGAAAGTTTTCCTGATACTGAAAAAAGGTCATAATTCTTCAAATTACCAATAATTTGTCTCACGGCAAACAAAACACTTTTTTAATTTAATTTTCTTTATTTTTATGAAAAGATAGTATAATATTTATCCGCGTTCAAGCACATTAAGTAATTGATATCAGCGTTTCAAAACAAACTCAGAATCCTACAATATATCCTATACATCTAATATGAAAAGAATAAATGCTTCCATTCGTCTGTTCAATCTTCTTCTGTTCTTCAATCTTTTTCTTCTATATTTTCTGCTACTCTCTGTTTCTCTTTTGAAATGGAAAAACAAAAATTCAGATAAGCGGAACATTGTTAAAAATTGATGAACTTAATTAAAATTATTTGTCTGAAACGTTTACTCTATTTTGAACTAAATATTTTTTATAATCTTCTTTTTGATGTTATTTTAATATGAGTAGATGCTACGAATAGAAGGCAATTCAAACTTAGTCATATCAATACGCAAGAAGAGATATAAATACGTGAATATTTACAAAAATCATAAGAAAAAAAAAATAACGTTTAAATACCTTTGAATTTATTTCTCAAAGAGCATGTTTATGAAGTATTAAGTAAGAAAATGACAACAAAAATCGAACATATAATAATTACTATACGTTTACAGAATTAAATGGTATTTATAATACACAGCGTAAAAATGAAAAGGGAAAAAGTAATAATACTTGTGCACTTATATTTTATCTATCATTTAATATCATATTGATTTGACAATTCTAGTACATGATCTAATGCATGTAAATGAAGATAGATAACACGAATTTGTCGAATATTTTCACTAAAAATAGGAAAAAGAAATAAAAATAGAGTAAAAAAAATGTTTCTATTTTCTTACCGATATTGTTTTTTCTCTTGATCAGTGGCACCTTCCATTTGTTGTGCATATTCTTGTGTTAATTGTTTTAAATATCGACAAAATGTTTCTAATGCTGGTAAAGTAGAATTTGTTTGTATATTATTAAACCATACTTTTGGAAAACATTTAGCTATATAAGCACATTTAATTGTCATATCAGTTGTTTCTATATCCATTGATTGTAGAGCTAATAAAATATATCGATTTAAAAGACCATCGATAGATAAATCACATAGTGTTTTTATCGATAACAGATTTGACCAACATAAAATATTTCCTAATAAATTAACACATGTCCAATATTGACGATAAAAAAATTGACTGGCACCCGAAACAGAACGATTCGAAGATGTTGTAGCAGATATAATTTGTTTTGGATAAATTGGAATATAAATATCATCGTCTAATGATTGTCGAAGACGATCAATAATCGCTTTTAATAATGTCTGAAAATATACAAAAGATAAGTATAATAAATATTTACTTTTTTCTGATTAAAAATTATTGACAAATTAATGAAATCGATTTACTGGGGGATCGCAGTGATAGTTCAAAAGTGTTAAATATTAAGTTAATATTCAAACTCATTGTTCCTTCTTAGTTGTATTCAAGACTTTTACTATTTTACTAAAGTATCATTTTAATCTTACCTGCACCGCTTTACTTTCATCATTCATTGTTGGGTACATTTGAAATAATGTTTCAATTGTTTTTACAAGAGCATTCGTTTGTTTTGTTGACATTGGATCATAGAGATTTTCAATAATAGCTTGAAAAGAAAAACAAAAAATAGATTTATTAGAAAAATTTATCGTGAATGACATGATAAATTACCTGTGAGTTTTGGTATAATTATTTTTTCAACAATAAGTGGCACAAGTTGTACACTTTGATCATCGGAAATGTCTTGTTCATTACCAATACCGTACAAGACAAGTTCAGAATACCATGAATAATCTTCAATCGATTTACACATCGGCTAAATATAGAAAAGTAACAAAAGTTGAAGAAAGTCTGTAAAATAGTGTTGCTCACTCCACTATATTCTGAAATCATAATGCTAGTTTAATAGAATGTTTGACTAATGCTACGTTTATTACGTATTTTGGCGCCTTCTAGTCCAAGTTTAGATATACAAATATTATAACTCGCCTCGGTTGGATTCCAATCTAACATATCTATTCGTATTAGTGGTGAAAATAACTTTGGTAAACAATTTTCAATCCACGCTTCTTCATACGATGGTTTATAAAGTTGTTTCCATTTTTCAAATTTTATTTTTATGATTGAATATTTACAGTAATCATTTGTGACATCATCTAAGATATGTTCTAATTCAGATAGAATTTCAGCTAAACAAATTAAAAGTAAATTAAATTCATAATATTCTTCTTGAATCATTTTTATCTATTTTGTTTACCTTTTTGAGATGAGAAGTTACTTAAATCAGAGGGATTTTCTTCATCATCCGTTGACATACCATCAAAATGAGTTTGCATTTCATTCGAGTTCTTATCTTCACGAGCTTGACGTCGACGAACTCTAAAAAATAAAGAAATATTTGTTCAATGTTCTATCCTTAAACGATTAAAGTAAATTCTGTTATGCAAATACAACATACACAATATACATTTTTTTAGAAAATATAGAACATACAATCACACTGGAATAGTTACATTGTGATAGAATATTACCTTCTCGCTTCTCGCTCAACTGCTCGTCGTTGTCGTTTTGGATCAAGTGGTGTTCGAAAATCTGTTGCTGTATTCAATAAACTGATAGCCGCAGCTGCTTTTGCTAGAAGAAAAGATCAGACACAAATGTCATACATATCGCGATAAAATTACTATTTTCTGAAAAGTCTTTGAAGACTTACATGATGGATATTCGATACATTGATCTTTGACATCTTCCTGTCGACGACTAACTAACCTGTCTTGACGTTGTTTATATAACTGAAACCAACGTTTCTCTAGTGAATCAATCACAGGCATCTACAAACAAACAAAAAGAGTTCATACAAAGAGACTATATTTTGACTTTATTTCTTAAATACAGAAAGTGTTTCACTTACTTTTTCATTATAACAGTCAATAAAATCTTTTGTGTACAATTTTAAATCTTGATAAAATTGATAACATAGTTCTAATTGTGGTAAATCAACATGTTGGTTTTGAATTGATTTTTGACTTATCTCAAAAGCTGAACAAATTTGTTCATAATCAACTTTCCGCGTGTGATTTTCTTGAACAACAGAATTAAGTCTAGAGAAATAAGAGAAAACAAGATAAATATTTGTCTACCATCAATTTGTCGACCTACATATTATTCAATTTATCTCGTATCGATTGAAATGTGGCAGTAGGTAGTTCAGTTGGTGGTAATTCACATCGAATCTCAACTTCCATTGGCTCAGGATCATAGCCAACAATAGTTTTACTAACGTTTGAACCAGTTTTTCGTAATGATGATGAAGTAGATGCATTGGTTTTGATTGGAAGTATCTAAATGTAACAATACACAGAGCTATAACAAATAATATAGCAGTTTCGACCCAAATAATTTATTCATCCAGTTCCAACAGTAGCGATCACTCATAAAACCATATTTCATTTTTCTCTTAACGTTATGTGAATAAAATCAAAACTCCTCACTTTTCTTGCAATTTCTCTGACAGTTTAAGCATAACAAAACCATCTGCAAGCTGTCTCTACAGACGCTTTGATTTCACGCGATGTCAGTCAAAGAAGTATTAATAATAGATAGCAAAGAAAATGGATTCAATAGGAGTTGAGCTATAAATCGAATAGACCTGATTATTTGTAGTCTTTGACAAAAGATAGTTGAGTTGCGGTCTAGGTAAGGCCAATTTCAACCTGAATGAAGGTTAGTTAAATAAAAAAGAGTTTTTAACTGATAAAAAAGATAAAACTATTTTGTAGTAATGGGATTCTGCAATGTTGAAATGCATATGGCTGATGACGTATAGTCAGGAAGAAACTTTAACTGTCTATGACAGCTGAGTGATAGAGAGTTATACAAAAATCTTACGAAAACAGGTCAAAACCGACTTGTGTAATGTGAACACCTTTTCGGATTTGTTCACGTTCCCATTGACTAAATTCTTCATCATCTTCTGTATCACTTCCTAAACAGACATAGATTAAATAACACAATCAACTCGATTTTAACATCATCATACCTTGCTCTAATTCTAAAAATGCATCTCGATTTTTTTGCCGTTCATTAGCAGCACGTGTTTTATTTCGATCCATAATAACCACTTCATCTTCACTATCACTACCATCATTTTCATCTTCTCTGCAAAAGAGACAAATATAACTATTAATTAAAATCTATTTAGATTCTTTCACAAACCGAATCAGTCGCGATTTTCCAGATTTCACCGATGTTATTGTAACACTGTCTCCTCCTTGCGGTGAAGTATCTCCTCCTCCTCCAATTGTGATATAATCGTTTCCAACAACACCATTGCCCATTTCACGGGCCATTTGACGACGTTTTCTTGCCGCGTGGATCATGGCTGGATCCGGTATATTACCACCTACAACAAATAAATCAAGAAAAGAGTAACCAAACGGTCAATGGAAGTGAAACATGATCTGTCACAAAAAATCTATCTTGACTAAAGCAAGAGATCAAAGTGTTTTGGTTTCTGAAAAATCAAAGTGGCACTTGTTTTGAAATAAAATATAGTAAACTTTCTCTATACTACTTGATCTTCTTCTTTAATAAATACGTCTTATGCGACAAAAAAAGCTTACTTCTCAACATAAGTCGAACTGAACGTTGTGTTTCATCCATAACTCCAGTATCATTAGTTTCGTCGTCGTATTCTTCAGCATCTTGCCCATTAAGAATTTTCATTTCTTGTCGCAAGCGCTTAAATAGAAAGAAATCGAACAATAATCACTATCCGATCCGGGAAGTAGTTTTATTGAAAAAATAATCTTTTTTAGTACAAAAAGATCACTTTTGTAAAAACTATGATTCGGCGTCGAATACCTGAACCATACCTGAAGTTCAATGTGAGTGCTCGAAAATGAATTGACCGCTGTTCCACTCGTTGCTGTCGATTCTACTGCTTTCTTTGGAACAGATAATGGTTTAACTAAAAAACAAGAAGAAATTTATTTAGTCTTCTCTCGAATAGTCAGTTCAAAACCTACATTTTATTTCGATTTCGTCATTTTCTTCTACAGCGATGTGTTTTTTGCTTACAACACTTGTTGTAGGTTTTTCTTCCACGATTAGCATCTGTTGTTGTTTTTTCATTTCTTTGATTAATTTTCGACTTTCACGAGATTTGTTTATTTTAAATTCTTCAACATCGCCTAAAATTAAAAAAAGATGAAGAGAAATCATGAATGTCTGTTTCAGCACCCACATACCTTCATCATCTGCAAAACTCAGTAATGTTTTAGGAAGCGCATCTGCTTTATTTTTATTTGTTACTAGTGTCGTTGTTGTAGTGGTTACTGTTGTTGTACTTGAAAGAATGGTAGACGGCGGTGTGCTATCACTTGCGGATGTTTTCTGAGAAGAATGTTCTTCTTTTGATTCGTGAGCGCTATCATCAGTACGACCACGAAGTTGACGTTTTGGTTTCTTAAAACCATCCATTGTAAATGAGGATACTCTACAATTAGGAGAGAAAAAACAATACAGAATAGATTCAAATTAATAGCTTCGACAAGGAATTCAAACAGATCTAACCAACAAGAATAGTTAACATCAAATGCTAAGAATGAAAAACAACTACTAAACATTTACTCCAACTATTTTCACGCAAATACGAAAATTATCAGTTTCATCTAGTATTCTTCTGAAAGAAATCATGGCAAATTATTACACAAGCATGAGTTACATGCGTACGTACAGAATATGTATGCATTAAGACAAAAACACAGTGGAACACATTTCATCAATATTCTTAAAGTAATGAACTCGAGAATAGACGTAAGTCAAAATTTAGTTTGTCCTATTATAGCGGTGGCTTACGACAAATCAGGAGGTTTATTCAGCAAGAGCTTTACTTAAGGCTCGCGGTCCACGCAGTCAAAATAAAGTTAAGTCCAAAAGAAGACGTAAGTTGGCATTTACAATTTTTGATGAACTCAACTCAAAACGTTTTTAGTGCTTTACAACTACAAATTTTTTGCAACTGATTGCAAAAAATTTCGCTATTATCGGAAGTAAATACCTGGCACATTCACATATATTAAACTTTAATGGGCTATACAAAGCGGCGCTAAAAGTAGAAGACACTTCCATGGATGTGCGTATCACACGAGAGAAAACGTAATAATCATATGACCATGACATATGCGAGTATGAGCAGCAAAAAGATCATGTTTTAATCATAAAACAGAAAAGATACATTCTTTTACATATCTGAAGGAAAATGTTCTCGCTCCTATATGTTGTCCTTTCTTTGAGCGAGTCCGCGACCACGAGAAAATTCCATGCTTTGTGCAGATCTCTAATGAGCAGGTCAAAAGAAAAAGATGCAAATAGAATTTTGGTTCATTTACATCCAAAAACAAACACAGTCGCTTCTGCTGGCTTTTTAGAATCCAATTCGACAGAAACGTGGACAAAATCTCAAATATGAGAAAGTCATCAAGGAAAATTCACTTAAAACAAATATAAATGGGATAAGTTTAAAAATCGCGCTAGTATTTGCCTAGTTGTTCTGCATTTAGTTATGCCTTTCATTCCAAATGAAGAAATAGCTGTCTACATCACCGTATAAACCACCAATCAACTGTTTGCAAGTACCTCTTTCTGATCACATTTTAAACCAAATCACTGCGTTTATGAGTCATAAGTATGGTCTTTATGATTATATTTCAACGCGGTTTATGGTATTTTATCGTGAAGCTAAACAACAAATGAACTGGGGATAATTAAATGCTCTTAACTTCTGTAATTTCGACGACAACACGTTTAAAAAAGAGCAGTATGCGCCGTTATGGAAGTTATTAATGCATTTCAAAATAAACGAGAAATCAGAAGCAAAAGTGTTATCATCGATGTATACATTTATGCGTTTTTGAATAATATTCCGACGAATTCATGGTAGATAGCTGTGAAGACTAATCACTTTTTGATTAGTAAATAGTATTTAGTCTTTTCTCATTGGCTCATCAAGTTGATAGAAAAAAAGGATTAAGATACACTTTGCGTTAAACGCTAGTGCTAGTATCAACGTGAAATTATGTTGTTCGTAAGCAAACGTGCGAATAGGGTATCCGAACCCATTAAAAGTACATTACTTAAGTCTTCATTATCTTTTTAAAAAATTCTTTTCAAACAAGATCTACAATATTTTAAGGCCGAATGAAGGTTCAGGTGTTCATTCTCAGACAAATACAAGATACCGGTGCGGAGAGCTATAGCATTTCATGTCAACATCAATATAATTTCGTGGATGTTTAAAGAAACGTTAAGAGTACCACAAGCGCTTTCATATGTGGTGTAATTCCGCCAAAAGCTAGAAGCTGATCGACTGACTGAATTTTATTGAGAATCAACAAAAGAAGAATCTTGTAAAGATCCACTCTGGCCTACTATAGCTCGCGTTTTAAGACAAGAAAAATAGTGATCAGCGCCACTGTATAAATGGTCAAAAGAACCAACAGAAAAATGAGAGAACAATGGCACGAAATGTGAGATGTGGACTAATGAGGTTGCTCTTTCACTGACACGGCCAAAAGACTACGTCTCTGACCAAAAATAACAGTTCAACTCTACTCTTCAATACCGAGGTGTTCTCTAACTCTTGCAAAAACGTTGACTGATTGACACATAACGAGATCGGACTTTATAGCATCAAGTCTAGGTTTCAGAATGTTATACTCCCATACGTACGACTATTAGAATTTCAATTATGCGATAATGATAGTTATTAGTATGATTTCAGTTGATGATCAGGTTGTTGGATGGTTTCTAGAGGCTTTTCGTCTCGACTCTCTGCTTTAAAACTCGCAAAATATCCCAAAATTTTTTAATTATCGATTAGTAACTGCTTTCTGACTCAGCGAGAAGTCGTTGTAATCTAAGACGTATATGTATCTATACAGTGTTGTGACGAGAGAACAAGTCACGTGTGTACGTGTGGATTTATGTTTGATTCATGAACATTGCTTGATAATAATACAATAATGATAATACATTTACTTACAAAAAAAAAAGAGCGATCACTAATTGTCCCCGATGTGTACCACACTAAACTCCGTCAAAAAAATAATCAAAAAGGAAAAGTAGAAAGAACAGACAAAAAGGAGATAAATGAACTTCAGAAATAAATAAAAGATGAATAACGAAATAAGAATACTAGAATATGGCTAATATTTAACGTTTAGTAAAGAGAAAAAACATATGATCAGAGTTGCCAGATGCGCAGGTCAGAAATGCAGAATAAAAATTCGAAATTAAGGAAAATTTTCGCAGAAGAGAACATACCTTTGCCATTCTACATCGATGAGATCGGAAAAAAACATCCGGGTAAAAAACTCTCTCTACCGGTGTAACAAAAAAGGAAAAAAAATTTCAGAGTTGTAAAAATGTTTAGCTGGAGATGTGGAGTTGAAGTTGAACGAATCTGAACTCAATTCAACTCTAATCTAATAGAAACACAACTCCAACTCTACTAAAAAGAAGCTTAACTCCGGAGTTGGAGTTGCCCATCTCTGTCTGACAGTGATATTCGGGTTTAAGAAGAACACAAGAAGCATAAATTCGACGTCAAATTTAAAAAATCCAAAGACGCACGTGCCTCAACTTCCCCAGCTTATGCTGACACGTATGAGCAATGTCTGTATTTGGACTTTTTCACTTCTTTCATGAAAAAAATTTCTAAAAATTTTATGAATCGTGTTGTTTTCTATATGAATTATTCATTCTATCGTCGAGAGCAAACAATACTGGTAGCGATGAACTGCTGAATATCGTCGCACGAAATTTATTTGGATTTTCATTTCTCTGATCGAGTGAGCTAAATCATGATCAACTTTTAGCGGGAAAGGAGAGTCAGCACTCCCTTCTGAAAATTGAGCCGTTCATTTTTTTTAACAGAGACTCCTTTCGAAGGAGCTAATCAGGATGCTTGAGTCGGAGAACGACAAAGAATGTTGTTTTCTTTGCCTATGTAAAGATACAGATTTTTCTTTTGATATTCACTTAGTGAAGATAAAATAATAGATGCCCTGTTAAAAAAATGAACGGTCAAACTTTCGTAAGAAGTTCGGATGATCATCGAAACTGTAGGGACATTGGGGACGATGCCTTCACAGATTTTGGAATATAAAAAAGCATACGGACAGGATCCTGAGTCCTCTTGATTCTGATGATTATTTCTTTGAATTCGTCAAGTAATCACTGTATCTTTCCTATCTTCGACTTCTTTTTCTCTGTTTATTATAAGCGCGTACTTGACGAACTACAGAAAACCACGGTTTGGCCTCGATTCGTTCATAATTACTCAAATTCACTTGATGCCGATGTGTTTAAGCAGATAAAGGTAGAAAATTCTATGAGGAAGTATCGGAAAGGTATTTCGATATTGTACCCACAGTATTAAATCAATTTAAATTAACTCAAAATGGTATTTCGAGAGAGAGAGCAATTTACCTTGAATTTTCCCAAAAAATTTATTCCCGCAGCTTCTAACTCGTTCTACCGTCAATGAGTGCCAGTTTACCAAGTCTTCTGATTTCAACGTCTTCTAATTACTTGCTAATTTTCTAATTTCTTCTTTTATTTTAACTTTTTTTTGAAACTTATACTAGAAACCTAAATATTGTGGAAAAAAAGACTCGTATAGAAAACAAAAGTTATAAGGACAAATACAACAAGCAAAATGTTTCCAGAATTCGTTTTAGCTAAACTGAAAATTAGATTGTACAGTACTGATATTATTTGTAAACACTTTTATAATTCAATTTTGTCGATACCAGAGCTGTTGAAAGCCGTACGAATTCAACAGAAATACCAAACCTATAGAAAGAAAATTACGTATTGATAGTATTTAGTATCATGAAATACAGTGCTAATCGAACCGTTATCCGTTTCACGAAAAAGAAAATAGAAGAAGGGGAAAGGGAAAGCTAAAATTCATTTTAAAAAATGAATCAAATTAATCACTTCATGGATGATTAGGAAACTATAAATATCAGATAATTAAAACTAGTAGTGATAAAATATCTGTTATGATTACGGTTCATCAGTCCAAAATGGGTGATATTTGGTGATTATATTACGAGATTATTAAAAATTATACGCGCTGAATATGAGATAAAGTTTTCTTAAACTATGTTTTCTAATAACAGTAAGGATAGCATTCTATAGATAAATCGGTCTTACTACCTCCCAATTGTTATTGTTTGTTTCCTTTATTATTTTTAGAATAAAATATTTTTGAATGGATCAATATTATTTGTATTATTCTTTGTTAGAAGCAAATCATTTATTAGAATGTTCATTATGCAACGGATATTTAGGTATGATGTTCTATTATGCTATAATATTATTAAGAATTTCTCATTTCTCATTCAACAAAAATGTTGTATTTTGTGAACAGGAAAGAAAGCACACCTTTGAGACTGAGTAGAATGTGTAAATACGTGACTGATAAACTTTAAAGTTAAAAAATTTAAATAATATTGATGTTTACATGTCATTTCACAGATAATAACTTATTTTTAAAATTTTAGTCGATCCTTATACGATTAATGAATGTATGCATACGGTAGGTAGACGACGATAGTAAAATATTTTCTCTTTTTATTCATGAAATTTTGATTAACTATTTTTTTTTTTTTTTGTAGTTTTGTCGAACGTGTATATTAAATTATTTTTTACATTTTGTTGAACGTCCCTATCGTTGTCCGAGATGTAAAATAAATTTACATCCATCTGATTTTAAACGATGTTTACAACCCGATCGTCAAATGGGTGAAGTATTACACGCATTATTACCCGGTCTCGAACAAGATGAAACTTTAAATGAAAAACATTTTTATGAGTCTTCATTGTCGTCGTCATCAATACAAATTATACCAAAAGAATTACGTTTAAAATTACGTTTGAATAAAAATCGATTAAAAACATTTCGTTATATTGACTCGTTAGGAAATGTACATATTAGACAACAACAAAATTTAGATGAAAATAATACACGATATATCGGTAAGTGAATTTGAAGTTTTTGTTTCTATGTTATAATTATCTTATATTTGGTATTTCTTAAAAAGTTGAACTTAGCCTGATATATGATAGTGAATACACACTATGTAGTATAATCATGTAAAGATGATATTAAAATCGTTTTCTTTCTTACTACAGCTGTTAAATCAACCACAAATACTACTGAACATGAACCAACGTCGACAGCAACAATTATTCCACGAAAATTTCTTCACACTCGTCCATTTTGTTTACAAATTGAATTATGTAAAAAATATGTTGATCCAGAATTAATTAATTATTTTAAAAATGGTTTTAATACATTTCTATTAATTAATTCTCAATTGAAAGTTGAACATATTCGAAAATATTTAGAATCTGTGTTTAATGTTAGCCCACCAATATATAATATTTATTTATATTTTTATGAAAGTTGTTTAAATGAATCGACAAAATTATTAATGATTAAAAAAATGCTATTTCCAACTACGGATAGAATTAAACTTCATTTTGTTATTGTCAAAAATCAAGACATATCTACAACACTCAATTGAGAAAAAAATTGTCTTCTGCTTTGTATATTTATGAGTAACAATGTATACAGAATCAGAGTCCACAACTAAAGCGGTTTAAGCCGCTTAATTATAAAAAAAGAGGTTAGATTGTTCGCAATAATAGTAGTAATTATTATACAATTCTTTATTATAGAATAATCGATTTCCAACCGAAATGATGACTCTGCAATCGCATTCTTTGTGTTTGTGAAATAATTGCTGGGAACAAATGACTACATCGATTATTCAACTTTTTTTTGTTATTAGATTACATGTTTTCTTTTTTGTAATGTGTTAATAAAGTATTTATCATAAATACGATGAAAGGAACTCTCTGCACGTAACATTTACAAACCAACAGCTAGCTCCTGGCTGCCACTAGTGTGCATATAAAAACTGAACCAATAGAGCTTGTGGTGTTATACGGAAATCTCTTTTAAAAGTAAAAAATCCAAAGGTAAGAAAAGAGACTTTCCGTAAATTTCTATATTTATTTTTAGTAATAATATCCACAAAATCTGATGGCACAGATCGATTTCCTGGAATGCACCAGCAATCTGTAGCATGTCTCACAGATACAAATGATAATAAAATTGTTCTTTAAATAAAAGAAAGCTCTGTAATTTATTGATAAGAGACTTGAATCTTCAAATATTTTCCGTTTGTAAAAGGTGTAAGGACTGCTATTGATAGTTCATGAAAGAGTCGTTCCACCTTTCTTTTTCAAACTTTTTATGATTCATTGTAAAGTTAATATGAGACCTGGAAGAAAATCATTTGATAAGTTTTCCTACTCAGAAAGTTACTCGAATCTTATTCAGATTCTCCTGATATTTCACTAATATTTGTCTAAACAAATCTTACTAAGATCATGAGATCTGAAAATTATTAGATTCGATCGATAAGATTTTTCCAACATCGAAGTTAGATCTTTTCATAATATAGATTATTGCACATAAGATATTTTTAAGGTTGGATAAGAATCTATTAGAATATTATCTAGAATTAGCACGATTTTTGAAAGATTCATTCTGACGTTGACTTAGACGTTTTTCTCAGGAAAAGAAATTTAATTTTGTTAGACGTCCATTAACAGACGTTGACTTAGATTCGCATATCCTTTTCATGAACAACGTCTGTTAATGGACGTCTAACAAAATTAAATTTCTTTTCCTGAGAAAAACGTCTAAGTCAACGTCAGAATGAATCTTTCAAAAATCGTGCTAATTCTAGATAATATTCTAATAGATTCT